GAAATGAGGATAGATTAATAATTTTGATAAATAATAATAACAACAAATAATAAACGAAGTCATAACATATCAAGCTCAGGGTTTATGAAAATTCGTGATTTAACAGTCAGTCGCTGTCTATGCAAAATGATAATGAAACATTTTCATTGTAATATATGACATACGATTCTATCTTGTGACCTGACCCTGAGGATGCTTCATTCAGTTCTGCAACACTTCCAATGACATTCAAATGCCTGGAGGAGAATTTGGGAATCGATCGCAGAGTTACTCGATTTGTTCTACCGGTTGGAGCAACCATCAATATGGTACGGTATTTAGATTTTCATGTAGCGTGTCAGTCGAGAAGTCTGTGCCATTAGTTTTTTTCGACCTGTGTAACCTACTCAAACGACCTCGAGAAATGACGCTGAACTGCAAAATTTTGAAACCTTAGCTGCCAGTGCAAAAAAAGGTGGTGACCAGCCAATTTTTTTGATAAAGTTTGTCCAACTCAGCAAATGAATTCTCCGTTCCGGGTAGCAGAAAGATCTGCCATCATTGGTAAGAATGTCAAATTCGGTAGTGGTAGTATTATGTCGACGAGTAGTAGAATGAACAGACAGAAACCCAAGCAGCAAATTTTTCGGAAATAAGAGTAATGAAATCTCGATTTCATCAAACTACAGTTTTGTCGGGAGCACAGATACCTCCACACTTTTCCTCCGTTCTTAGTTGCACCTCTACGGCAAGACTGTTAATTTCATGAATTAAAGACATTTCTTTGTTAGTATATATATTTTTTTTTTTGCAGGACGGAACAGCGTTGTACGAAGCAGTCGCTGCAATTTTCATTGCCCAGACTAATGGCGTTCATTTGTCGTTCGGGCAGGTCGTTACCGTTAGGTTTGATTACGTTTTTCGTGCCGTCCGTCACCGTTTTCGGGAGGATGCGGGCATGTCGCAAATGCGCTGCTGCTCCCTGTAAGCCGCAAAGCCCAGAATTTGTTTTCAGATTTATTAGTTTGCTTGTTTTAGTCTTACAGCAACTTTGGCGTCAATTG